GATACAATAAATTTTTCGAGTCTAGTAGGAGTTTGAAATAAATAAATAATAAAAAAATAAAATAAAATAAGTAAAGGCCTTTTAAAGTGATCTGTGGAGGCGGGCAAATTCTATTTAAAAATGGGAAAATTATCACACAACTATTATAAATTCATGAAAAAATTAAAAATTATTAATATTTATAAATTTTATTACTAATTTATAATTAATTTTTAAAATATGCACTGAATTGTTATTTCTCTTTAAAAAATTCAGGCAAAAAATTCAATTAGTGTTTCTTTATAGTTTTTGAAATTGTAATTTTTATGTTAATTAAAATTGAGAAAATTGTGTAAAAGTCTAATCTAAGGAGGGTATAAGGTATTAGGTCCAATAGATATTTTTTATTAGTGAGATGTCCACTCTTTGTGAGAAGCCTTTTTGTTGGTTTTGAAAACGCCCAATGAATAACATCAGAGTAAAGGGATTATGTGAATGAAATATAGTAAATGATATAAATATTTCTATATCATAAGTAATTCATAGCGAAACGACCTTGGGTCCATTAGATGTACATAATGGAATTGATCATATCACAACAGAATGACCTCGGGTCCAATCATTTACGGCTGTATAATGACCATTCGGTCAACTCATAACAGATAGTTAGACTTATTAGATGTTCAGAACGACCTTGGATCTATCTTATCAAATGTACAAAATGACCTTGAGTCCAATTCAAATATACAAAACAATATTAGGTCCATCATACACATTCTTGTCACATCGATCACATTTAGAGATATCACAATGATTAGACAGATAGAAACTCATTCACTTTTGCAAATTCACAGTTTCAAAAAGTTTACCATAGTAGGATATATAGAAAATAAAATAATTAAGAAAATATCTTTACTAAGATATTACTCACAGTGGTTTGGTTGTTGATTCATCCTTGTGAAGGATCCTACACAATCATAAGACACACACACGTTGAATCACATTGTCTAAATTGGATTTTTTCTTTAAGTTATTCAATTCTCTTAGGCTTCATTATATCCCTATAATTCATTTAGGATGTTCAATTCATGCCTAAGAATGTTCAGAATGGAATGAGAAGGCACATTTGACCAGAATATGTCCTTTCAAACTTTGTTGAAATAGAGCACTTTCCTCAGGCGTAACATTGGACTATCGAGCAGACCACTTGGTTTGCAAAAGTACTTGATGGTCCAAATCTAGGCTCGATGTTCACTCGAGCCAATGTGCAAAATAAAAGGCGATCGCTCGAGCGGTGACTTGGTCACTCGAGCCAACTGTAATTGTCTGCAAAAATACTGAATGCATGCAATGTGCGCTCGAGTGATGGATTGTTCATTCAAGCGGTGAGGTAGAATTTTGGAATTTCCAGAACATAATCGAGATTCAATGCTTGTAATTCAAACACAAACTCTTTCATGGCTTGTAAACCACTTCTCAAAGACTTAAAACTCTTCTATAAACATGGATACACGATCAATTCTTAACCCTCATGGGCAAATTTCATGGATTCAAACTAAAATGATCATGCATGTATGATTAAACTTCAATTCTTTTCCAAAGTTTACAACAACATGCAATTTCTTTTCAAAATCTAGTAAATCAGGGAATTAAGCTTAAAACTCCATAATTCATGAGTGCATGTAAAAGATATCTTCAAAACTCAACATAGATGACATATGTTCAAACTTATGAAACTTTATCAAATTATGCATGCATGTATAAATTGCCTTCGATTCTAACAATTCTAACAATTCTAACTCAATTCTTTCTTTTAAACACATAATCTCTTTGAATTCACAAATTTGATGATTTAAACTCTTGAATTTTTGTTCAAACTCTTACCTAAGGTCTTCAATTACACCTCCACAAGCTAATTCTTGAATTACTTCACACAATTCCACAAGCTACGAGCAAAATTCTCCAAGTTTGACCCTCTCTCTCTCTAAATTGCTCTCACTCTCTCTCTAACTTGTAAAATTTCAGCCAAAATGAAGTATTGAGCTCATCTCTTTAATTATAACCCATATATATACTAATTAGCTTAATTAACCCTAATCAAGGATTAAGGGAATAATCAGGTGTAAGTTTAATTAATTAAAACTTAATATTTTTGAACCGAATCAAATTTTAATCAAAGTTATCATTAGGTTCTAAAATCATGTTGATCACAATAAATTAACCAATTTCGATTTCTGATGCCATTAAGGCCTTCAATTTTCAGATCAAAGCAGAATTCTTAACAGATTTTCTTACAATCAATAGATATAAAGTCAAAAACATATTAGTCACATATTTAGTGCATAAGCATAAGCACAATTAAGGAATTAAAAGCATAATACAGAAAGGGGTTATTACAGTCTTTCCCCTTTTAAGAAGTTTGGTCCTCCAAACTTACATTATCTTGATTCGGAAAGAACCCGGGGTACCTTTGCCTTATTTCATCTTCTTTTTCCCAAGTCGTTTCCATGTCATAGTGTTCCTTCCATTCTACTTTTACCATAGGAATCGATTTGTTCCTTAACTGTTCGACTTGTTGATCGATAATTTGAATTAATTTTTCTTCATAGACCATATCATCATCAAAAGCTATTTGGTGATGGTCAATAACATGGAATGGATCTCGAAGATAGCTCATTAACATTGACACATGAAACACATTGTGCATTTGTTCCATTCCCGGTGGTATAGCAACTCGGTATGAAACCGGACCAAGCCTTTTCAAAATCTAAAATGGTCCAATGTATCAAGGTGATAATTTGCTTTTCTTGCCAAATCTCGATTGACCCTTCATCGGAATTACCTTTATGAATCCATGGTCACCTGTTTCATACTCAAGAGCTCTCTTTTTATGAACTGCCTAGCTCTTTTGTCGACTTTGTGCGGTTTTGAGCCGTTGCTGAATGACTTTAATCTTTTCAGTGGTCGATTGCACACAATTTCAGGTCCAAGCAATCCCCAACTTCAGTCTAACATGTCGGAGACCGACATTTTCTGCCACACAAGGCTTCATATGGTGCCATGCCACTGCTAGAGTGGGAAAAGTTTCCCAACTCCCCTGAAAGTCTAGAGCGCACATTCAGAGCATATTCTTCAAAGTCTGGATAGTTTCTTCTAATTACCAATCAGTTAATTCGGTATTAAACCTCAATTCCGTTACCATGGTTCTTTGAAGACTTTTCCAAAATCTAGACACAAATTTTGGATCTCCATCCGAAATAATGGCTTTCGATACTCCATGCAACCGAACAATTTCATCAATGTAAATTATAGCCAATCTATAAGCATCATAACTAGTTCTCACATATAGGAAATGCACAAATTTAGTCAACCACGATAACCCATATAGAGTTCATACCTCTCGGTGTCCGAGGTAGACGAACAATGAAGTCCATGGTCACGTGCTCCCATTTCCATTCCAGAATACGAAGAGGTTGAAGTAATTTCACCGGCTTTTGATGTCCAACTTTGACTTGCTGACACCGAACACACTTAGACACATATTCTACAATTTCTTTCTTCATGCTGGGCCATCAAAAAGTTTGTTTCAAATCCCGATACATTTTGTTATTGCTCGGATGCATTGCAAATTTAGACTTGTCAGCTTCCTCTAGTACTATCTTCTTTAACTCAGGAATGTTCGAGACACACAATCTTCATTGAAAACTCAACACTTCATTTTCAACACTGAACCCCGATTTCATATTCTTATGCTTAATTTCGTCAATGATCACCAATTGAGCTGAAATGGCTGCTATCAACCTGCCTTGATCATGTAGCACCATAACAATCTCGGTTCTTTCTAAGTCTTGCAATATCCCTTTCTATTCAGTCAAAAAACATGCCAACTTTCCCGTTGACTTTCTACTCAAAGCATCAACTACGTTATTGGCTTTACCTGGATGATATTGAATTTGAAGATCATAGTCTTTAATTGGCTCGAGCCATCTTCTCTGTCGCATATTTAGCTCATTTTGAGTAAAAAGGTACTTCAGACTCTCGTGGTCGATATAGACTTCACATTTTACTCCATACAAATAGTGGCACTAGATTTTCAAGGCAAACATAACTACGACTAATTCCAGATTATGAGCCGAATAGTTCTTTTCATGAGGTTTCAATTGTCGAGAAGCATAAGCTATCGCCTTACCATTCTGCATCAAAACACAATCCAGACCCTTGTAAGAGGCATCACTATAAATGACAAATTTTTTTGTGCCTGAAGGCAATGTTAAAATTGGTGTTGTAGCCAATCTTGTCTTCAGTTCTTGGAATGCAGATTCTCTTTCATTAGTCCATTCAAACGGTTGTCCTTTTCGAGTAAGTTGGGTAAGTGGTATAGCTATCTTTGAAAAGTTCTTTACAAATCTTCTGTAATACCCCGCTAATCTCATGAATGTTTAGACTTCCATCATATTTGTCGGTGTAGGCCAATTCACAATCACCTTAACCTTTTGTGGGTCTACCGAAATTCCATCTCTCTTAATGACATGCCCTAAAAGCACAACTTCATCTAGCCAAAATTCACACTTTTTAGTTTTGCATATAATTTTTTCTCCCCAAGTGTTTTTCAAAACGATTCTTAAATGTTGTTCATGTTCTTCTCTACTCGAATAAATCAGGTTATCATCAATAAATACTATTACAAATTCATGAAGGTAGGATTTAAAAATTCAGTTCATAAGGCCTATAAATGCTGCAGGTGCATTTGTAACCCCAAATGGCATAATCAAAAATTCATAATGTCCATACCTTGTTCGAAATGCAATTTTCTCAACATCTTCAGCTTTCAGCTTCAGTTGATGATACCTAGACCTCAAATCAATTTTCGAAAACACTTGCGAACCCTGTAACTGATCAAATAAATCATCAATACAAGCTAGAGGGTAATTGTTCTTGATCGTTACCGTATTCAACTCTCGATAATCGACGCATAGGCATAAAGTTACATCCTTCTTTTTCATAAACAAAATCGGTGCACCCTAAGGTAAAGTACTCGGTTGGATAAAACCCTCGTCAAGCAAGTCCTGCGGCTGTTCTTTCAATTCCTTCTTTTCAGTAGTTGACATTCTATATGGAGTTTTTGAGATAGTTTGAGTACTGAGTACAACCTCAATTGTGAATTCAATTTCTCTGTCAACTAACTCCCATGACAATTCTTCTAGAAACACATCCACAAATTCCCTAACAACAGAAATATCATCTAACATAATGTTCATAGATTAATCAGTCATTATACTACACAAATAACCCCAACATCCCTTCTTAAGGAGTTTGCATGCTTTCATTGCTGAAATCACGTAAGGCGGAGCTACTACACCATTACCCACAAATACAACTTCATCATGTCTAGGAGGTCTTAATAAAACCCGTTTCGTCACACAATCAACAGTAGCACAATATTTAGACAACCAATCCATCCCCAAAATCACATCAAAATGCCAAATGTCAAGAGGTAACAAATCTACAAATAATGTAGCATCTCCAACTTGTATTTCACAAGCATGATATATAGATGAACATAGAACAGATTCCCCAAATAGAGCAGATAAACACAACAGATATGGCAATGATTCCATGGGTCTACTCAGTCTAGATGCAAATGCAGTAGATACAAAGGAATGTATGGAGCCCAAATCAATTAGCACATAAGTATCTTGGTTACAAATAGATGGGGTACTTGAGAAAACGGCTTTAGTATTTCATGTATCACCTAGGGCGAGTGCAAAAACTCTTCCTTACCTCAGTGTGTCTCTTGTGGCAGTGGGTCTTGCAACGTTTCTTGGCGTTGGGATAGATCCAGCCGAACTAGCAGCTGGCTTTCCACTCCTTTGTTCATTTTTGGGACAATCTCTAACCATATGTCCGGTTTTGCCACATCGAAAACATGCCCCAGAAGAGTGATAACAAACTCCCTAGTGTCTCTTATCGCGCACACTACAGGTTGGTGCAGAATCTCTTGTCGAATTGAAGGTACTAGATGCTCCCTGGTTTTGCTTCTTTGAATATAATGATCCTTTATTCGAAAAAGAACCATGCCTCTTTTCTCTCCATTCAAAGGGTCGGTTATGGGATGCCAAATTCACCTAAGATATTAAATCTCGCTCAAGAACATCCACTTATTTTGGCAGTTTCAAAACATTTACTTTTTCTAAAATTGCATTCCACAATCCACCCTTAAACTTTCTCACTTTTTTATAATCAGTGTTGACCATGTGTGGTGCAAACCCTCCTAACTTTGTGAACTTTGCTTCATATTCAGCTATTGTCATGTTGCCCTACTTAAGTCCCTCAAATTCTGACACTTTTCGGTCATGGACGCACTGTGGAAAATATTTCTCATAAAATATTTCAACGAACTGTGCCCAGCCAATCCCTTTATTGTCTTCTCAGATTAGCATCCAACATCTTCTGGCTTCATTCTCTAAAGTGAATGCAACCAACTGAACATTTATGTCTCGGCACACGGAAACACTTCAAATAATTTCTGTGTTCTAAGAACCCAAGCTTCAACTTTCAACGGGTCCACTCCCCCATGAAACAATGATAGTTCATCTTCTTAAATTTTTTGGTAAATGCAATTGTACGGTCATCAGTCTAATAGTTCTGTACAGGTGGTACTGGCATTGGCGGAGGTGGGGGTGGCTGTAGCCTCAATGCCTCAGACATATTAGGGATCATTCTTTCCATTCTGCCCAGTCGAGCCATAGTTAACTCTTCTATCTCATCAGCTTTTATTCTCACCATTATCTATATAAACTTGCATTATAATAGGCACAGAAATTGCACATATACACATATAGGCACAACAGTTCATGTTCCAAATATTCACATATTCTCAATGTACATAGACAGATTCTTATCAGATGGATGCGCCTTAAGTCTTTTCTAAACACCTTATTGCTTATTTGGCCAAGTGTGTGAGTTATTAACCCGTGCTCTGATGCTATTCTGTCATGACCCGAACCCGCCCCTAGAGGTTTAGATCATAACTGACCAGTAATCATGAGATCACCAATAGCCTCAAACAGAAATCTAATCATATTTAATTATATAGGGCTAGAAGTGGAAGCATAATTATAAAATTTTATCCAATGAGCTGTGCATAAATGGCATAAACAGAACTTCTCATATATTAATAACCCACACTCATACAGACATAATAAGATTTCAAATGGTTAAGATCTTTCGAAACATCATTGTCGTACAAAACCAAAACTTATATACAGAAACGATCGAGTATGACAAACAAAAGAAAGAAACAAAAAATTAAAAGATCAAAGAAACAAAAGCCTCGATTGTAAGGCGCTCATAACAGACTTCACAAAACTTGGTTTGCTTTACAAGTTCACTAAGGCTGGGTTTGGAAATCCCGCTACTCACTTACATACATATAAATACAGAGTGAGCTAATGCTCAATGAATAACATTATAGTAAAGGTGTTATGTGAATGAGATCTTGTAAATATTTCTATGTCATAAGCAATTCATAACATAATGACCTTTGGTCCAACAGAACAACCTTAGGTTCATCAGATGTACAGAATGGAATTGATCATATCATAACAAAACAACCTCGGGTCCAGTCATTTGCAGCTGTATAATAACTATTCAGTCAACTCATAATAGATAATCAAACTTGTCAGATGTTCAGAACGACCTTGCGTCCATCATATCAAATGTACAAAATGACCTTGGGTCCAATTCAGATATACATAACGACCTTAGGCCCATCTTGCACATTCGTGTCACATCGATCACATTTAGAGATATCACAATGATTAGACAGATAGAAAGTTATTCACTTTTGCAAATTTACAATTTTAGCAAGTTTACCACAGTAGGATATATAGAAAATATTAAGAAAATACCTTTACTAAGTTATTACTTAGTGTGGTTTGTTTGTTGATTCGTCCTTGCGAACGATCCTACACAATCATAACACACACACACGTTGATCACATTGTCTAAATTGGATTGTTCTTTAATTTATTCAATTCTCCTAGGCTTCATTCTGTCTCTTTAATTCATTTAGGATGTTTAATTCATGCCTAAGAACGTTTAGAATGGAATAAGAAGGCACATTTGACCAGAATATATCTTTTTAAACTTTACTGAAACAGAGCACTTCGCTCAAGTGCAACATTGGTCGCTCGAGCAGACTACTTGGTTTGCAAAAGTATTGGATGGTCCGAATCTAGGCTCGATGTTCGCTTGAGCCAAGCTGCAAAATAAAAGGCAGTTGTTCGAGCAGTGACTTGGTTGCTTAAGGTAACTGCAATTGTCTGCAAAAATACTAAATGCATGCAATATGTGCTCAAGCGACGAATTGTTCACTCGAGCGGTGAGGTAGAATTATGGAATTTTCATAACAGAGTCGAGCTTCAAACCTTGCAATCCAAACACAAACTCTTGCATGGATTGTAAACCACTTCTCAAATACTTAAAACTCTTCTATAAACATGGATACAAGATCAATTCTCAACCCTCATGGGCAAAGTTCATGGATTCAAACTCAAATGATTATGCATGTATGATTAAACTTTAATTCTTTTCCAAAGTTTACAAAAACATGTAATTTTTTTTCAAAATCTTGTAAATCATGGAATTAAGCTCTAAAACTTCATAATTCATTAGTGCATGTAAAAGATAGCTTCAAAACTCAACATAGATGACATGAATCATGGTCAAACATATGAAACTGTATCAAATTATGCATGTATGTATAAATTGACTTTGATTGTAACAATTCTGGCTCAATTCTTTCTTTTAAACATATAATCTCTTTGAATTCACATATTTGATGATTTAAACTCTTGAATTATGGTTCAAACTCTTGCCTAAGTTTTTCAATTACACCTCCACAAGCTAATTCTTGAGTTACTTCTCACAATTCCACAAGCTACAAGCAAAATTCTCCAAGTTTGAGCCCCTCTCTCTCTCTCTCTCTCTCTCTCTCTCTCTCTCTCTCTCTCTCTAACTTGTAAAATTTTAGCCAGAATGAAGTATTGAGCTCATCTCCTTAATTATAACCCATATATATACTAATTGGCTTAATTAACCCTAATCAAGGATTAAGGGAATAATTACTTTTAAGTTTAATTAATTAAAACCTAATATTTTTGAACATAATCAAATTTTAATCAAAGTTTTCATTAGGCTCTAAAAATCATGTTGATCATAACAAATTAACCAATTTCGGTTTCTGACGCCATTAAGGCCTTCAATTTTTAGATCAAAGTAGAATTCTTAACAGATTTTCCTACGATCAACGAATATAAAGTCAAAAACATATTTATCACTCAAATACAGACACTTAGCATATAAGCACATGCACAATTATGGAATTAAAAGCATAATATAAAACGGGGTTGTCATAGTGTGGACTTGTGGTGTTGTGAAATAATATAAATGTTTTATATGTAAGATGTTATGTTGATTTGGTGAGGGACCTATTGTGTGGAAAGTCGAACCTTAGAGACATGATCATTTGTTGAATAACCTTGAAAAGTCCGACTGGAAGCATGTTCGGTCAGCGTGGCTTTGAATAAAAAATTCTAGGCAAATTTTGTGGGAATGAATAGGTTACCTTACCAATGTCCTTGTATGATTGTATGTCTCATGGTTGATTATATATGATGCTATGTTCTAAGTTAGTCAATATTTATCCAAGTGTTACTAACCTTTGTCTTGTGTCTTTAGGAAAGGATGGTGAAAGGTACGAATGAAGTGGACATTGAATCTTTGTCAGAGCGATTAGATAAAGTAGAAAAAGTGCTAGAAAATATGATGAAAGCTATGCAATCATGTCATGACAAACTATAAGATCGAAAGATAAAGTTAAATGTGAAATCAACAAAGGGACCAAAGAATATGTTTGAGAATTTTGTAGTAGGAGAGGCAAGCAATCCTAAGCAAGGTCATAAAAAAAGTAAACCTACCCCCAACATATCCAACGTGTCTTAAGCCTCATAGGCAATTGTGTCATCGACACATGGGAGCGTGTTTTATATGTGGAGAAATGAGGCATCGAGTGAAAGATTGTCCAAAAATCAAAGGTGTCACAAGTCACTCAATTAGATTGAAGGTTAGTACTTAATGAAGATGTCAATGAGAAAATGTTTAGTATATGCAAGAAGTCTTGAGTTAGGATTTGTTGTATTTGCATTTGTCTTATTCAATTATTGGGAAATTAGAATTCATTAGCTTACACAATTGGGAACTGACCCAAAATTGTTAGAATTAGAAAAATGTAAGCAAGACTTAAAAAAATTGTTTGATGCGGAATGATAAGTGAGGGTTTTGCGTTTGTTTTGGTTTTGTCGAGATTGTTCAATCTGATTAATTCATATGCTTTTGGAAATATGTTTGAATAAGAGGAGAGTTGTACTCCACTTTAGTAGACTCATGCCTGTATGAATTAAATAAGAATGACCCAATTTATTAGAATCATATCTTCATTAGTATTCCTTAAGAACATCAGAAGAGGACTATTTTTATTTACTCAAGCTGTGAATCTAAATGGATTGTCTATCAGAAAACATAGTAACTTTCACATATGAATAATGGTTAAATTGGAAATATGTTAAGTTTTGCTCTGATCTGTATGTCTGTCAGAAGCTATTGGGATGCAGCCCGTTATCTGTTCAAAGATTCTATGAATTTCTACAAGGAATGCTTTTGTTATGGATCTGATGTGCTTCTGTTCCGAATTACTTTTGCTATTTTGTGAACAAGATGCCTATATGAAATTGAGACCATCAATATGTAATAATATTTCTATGCAGTCCAAAAATTATTGTCATAGATTGACATGTGAAACTTTATTTGGGGATACTACATCGTATGTATATGACTCAGTGCCTTTGGACATGAACTAATATGATGTAATTTTGAGGAAACTATACACATTGTGTAAACATTACTCATATGCCTAAGTGAAAAGATTTTGACCTCCGGGACAAAATGACCTTTCTTTGGAAATAATTGAATAGTTTTTCAATTTATTTAAGGTTGTTAATAAAGGCTTCTGAATTACATATGAATGAATGCCAAGATTATTATTGTCAATGGAATTGAAAGTCCAAGAATTTGAGTTTGTTATTAATGTTTCATTGAGTACAATAGCTTTTGATAACAGTATATGATTTGCTTCCGATGTAAGTGCCATAAGTTTGGAGAACCAAACTTTCTAAGGGGGAGAGATTGTAATAACCACATCATACACATTATTCATAATTATTTAATTATGTGATTTTGGATATTAATTTGCATAGTGAAGATTTGATTATGGAATTTATTAGCATATCATGTGCCTAATTTGAGTATGTGTAATATGCGTTAGATTGAAGAATTTAATCAGTTTAAATTGAGAGCCTAAATGGCTTAAGGAAATATAATTGATGAACTTAGTTAGTTTACTTTTATGTATTGAACCATATGGAAGTTTAATTGAATATTTGATTTAGTTTAGTAAAAACTTGTTTTGGTTAAAATAAGCCCAATTGGAATTAAATAAGTCATGTGGGTTTATGATTATTTTGAATTTTACTCGCTTTTGTAATTTATTGGTTGTAATCTAGTTTCTTATCAGAAATTGAAAGTTTTAATCATTTGAGAAATCATAATTAATAACATTAATTGAATCAGTTTAATGTGTAGAACGATATTGCCATTTACTTAAAAAATCTGATTCAGAATAATAAAATTAAATATGTTTAATTGGGCCTTAATTGCAATTAATTTGACCAAGTAAGTTATGTACTAATCATGATGAATTAAGTTTAAGTGTGATTTAATTAAGAGAATACATAATTAGTGCAATAGAAATTGAAGAAGAAAAAGGAAGACTAACTAATAATCATCTCTAATTTCTGTAGATTAAAGTTCTAGGTAAGGATTCTAAGCCTAAATTATGTAGAAACCCTTTATGCGTCATGAATTGAAAGAGTTATTAAACTAATCTCATGAATTATGTAAGAAATTGGGTTTGAAATAAGAATCTAAGTTAGAGCCATGATTGATGAAGATTAATTAGAATTTCATGATTTTGTTTTGGATTTTGAAGTTTGATGCATGAAAGCTTTTATATTGCATAATGTTGCAAAAGATTTCAGAAAATTAATAGAATTACATGTTTAATCTCATGTTTTGTTCTTCAAAGAGAAAGAGTTTGGAAATCTTTGCATGTATGGGATTTTAATTCAAGTTTTGGAAAATTGATGAAGTTTTGGGAAAATGGTTTATAAAAGATAATGAAATTATGTTTTTCAAAGTATTTTCATGTTTTTGAGTAAGCCATGCATGAACCCAAGTTTTGAAAATGTGTTTGATGCCATTTTTGCTTCATTTCAAAGCCCAGAATTTTACAGACCGCTCAAGCGGTATAGTCACTGCTTGAGTGCACATAGCAAACATCTAGTATTTCCGCAGACAGGATAGTTCCCTCGAGCAACTAAAGGTCCGCTCGAGCAATCAGACTTATTTCAGCATGTTTTGGGAAATTGCACGTTGTTCTTATTTTCGTCCTCATCTCTTTCTGAGCATTCCTAGGCATGATTATGGCTCATTTAGGATTAATAAGCTAAGAGCCAACATATGTTAATTAGTAAAAAAATCAAAGTAAGAATTCGGTTTATTTGAGAAGAAAGATTAAGAGAAGTAAGATTCGATCAAGAGAATAATATAATGTTTTGATGTGTATGTTTGTGTGCTATGTGTAGGTTGGACATCGGAGGAGTAATATTCGAGTCAAACCTACGGTGAATAATGTCTTTGTAAAGTTTTTTTGGTATAAATGATTTGACAATGCTATAACATGAGAAGTTTTATGAAATCTATGTCATTATGAAATGTTCCAATATGGTAAGTGTTCTGATACAAGTATTTTTTTGAAATGATAAGATATGATATGATAAGCTTTTTCAAAATTATGTTCTTAAGTGTTTACTTTGAAATGTTATGAACTGTTATGTTTTCTAAAATTATGTTTTGTTATGAATAAATGTGTTTTCCATTTGATAATTTATTGTGACATCCTTAAATGAATTCTTTGTGAATAATATGTTGGACCTGAGGTCGTTCTATCTTATCTGTTATAAGTTGGATTAGAGGTCATTCTATACAGCTGTTATATATATTGGACCAGAGGTCATTCTGCAATGAGTTGGACCAGAGATTGCTTTGTACAACTATTAAATATATATTGGACCAGAGGTTGTTCTACCATGAATTAGACTAGAGGTCGTTCCGCTATGTATTGGACTAGAGGTTGTTCTGCTAAGTAATAGACCAGAGGTCATTCTCTCAAGTTTAAATATGTTTAATGCTATTGGGAATTATCCCATCACCTGATAATCTTTGAAAGGTTTGATAAGTTTCTGAATAGTATGCCTCTGAACGACGTAATGTGTGTAATTATAAAAGGGTTTATGAAGTTTACATATTTCATATTTGTGAACAATGTTTATGATGAGTGTTTATTTATTTATTTATTTTTATAAATCTGGAACTCATTCGTTAACCCTTTACATTGATATTACTTATTAGGCTTCTAGCTCACCCTCTTTCCTTATGTATGTAGGTGAGCATCTGAAAGTTCAGCATTAGAGTTTGCTTTGGAGTCAACTATTCTGCCAAGCCACCCAAAGATGTGTCTCTGTGTTGAGGCCTAAGCTTTTGCTTTTGGTTAAGCTTAGTTTTGTCAAGTTTTATTAAGTCAAATGTATGATCTTAGGATGTATAAGATAATTGTATGTATAAATTATATGTTTCTGTTGACATATTCATTTCATTTGAGGCAATGAAAATAAGATTTATCAATGGATGTAGACAATGACGACCCCACCACGTATAATAATTAGTATTTAATTAATTAAGGTGATTATTCTAATTTAATCTGGGATTTATAAAAATTGTGAAGACTGATTCGTATATGATTCTATTGAGGTTTAAAATTATGGAGATTGATTCGTTTGTGATTTGATTAAGGATTTATTTTGGAATTAGAAATTGAAAGCCTAAATGGCTTAAGAATGTGAAGTTGATGAGTTGAATCGGTTTAATTTCAAGTATTGGGCCATATGAGAGTTTAATTAAATATTCGATTCAATTTTGTAAAAATTGAGATTTGATTAATTGGGCCTGAATTGGAGTTAATTAAGTCATGAGGATTGGGAATTAAGATTATTATGAATTAAATTTACTTATGAAGTGTCCAATTTGAGTATGTAATTTATTAATAGAAATTTTGAGTTTGAATTGAAGGCCTTAATGATTTGAAAAACCAAAATTGATTATGGTAATAAGTCTAATTTGATATTTAGAGCCTTTTGGGGGTTTGATTAAAAATCTGATTCAGATTCGTAAATTCGGAATGATTAAGTTAAGTCTTAATTGGGTTAATTAAGTTGTGTGGTAATCATAATTAATTAGGACTAAGTGAAATCAGTATAAATTAAGAATGATTAAATTAAGAATTAATTTAAAGTAATTTGATTTGAGACTAAACATAATTAATTAAGCCTAATTATGAGTCATTGGCAATTAATCTATTATATCCAATTAAATATAAAATATATAGAAAGAATGAGAGCATTCTAGAATCTTTGATTAAAAAAAAAAGAAAAAGGAAGAAATGAAATTAAAAAAAAAAAAAAAGGAGATGTAAGTGTGCTGGGCTGGAGAAAACTGTACGGGAGAGAAAGAGAGAGAGTTCAAGAAGAAAGGAAGAAGAAGAGAAGAAGGGGGTTTTGAAGAACACTAAGATTCAAGTTAAAAATTGTGAAAAAATCATCTTAAGGTAAGAAATTCCATTCTCTTTCTAGTATTATTTAAATAATCTAGACAAAAATTGATTCGAGGTGGATTTTGAGAGGATTATTTGAAGAAACTCAGAGTTGAGATGAGTTTCAAGAAAGTTTCAGGGAGAGTATGTTTTAAATCAATTAATCTCCAAATTCCTTATAGATGAATGTTCTCCTAAAGATTATAAATCTTCTATACATGAATTAAACATATAAATTTGAAATTGAGGGTTAATTTAAGAAGATGATAATTAAATTAGAGCAATTCAAGAATTAAATTATGATTTGATTTTGAATATAGAAAATTAGTTAGTTTTAATCTTAATTTCATAAATGCAAATACTTTCTGAAGAGTCATATAACTTCAATTTCACGATTTAAAGGAAAATAGAAAAAAGTTAGAAATTAATTTCATGTAAATTAAAAGAAATTAGTAAAAGGGTGAAGAAATTGAATTAGATTCAAAATTATAGAAGTTAATTTGAAAATTAACCATTTTGGGTTTGAATTTATTTGTCTTACATGAAATTGACTTTCAATTGCATGTGCAAATTTTCAAGAGTTTTGGAAGTTTAATTAATGTTTTAGAATTTATGATTTTGAAACTGGGTTTGATATGAAGAAAATGAATTAAATCTAAATTTGGACAATTAAGAAATAAATTATAATTTGAGTTTGCCAAATCAAAGAGGTTTGTATTAGAAATTGAAAATTAGTCATGGGTTCATGTTCATTAATAAAATTACATGTTTAAAATTGAGTCATGCATGAGCTTAAGCTTTGAAATGAAGATTAATAAGCTATTAATCAACATAAATTAGTTGGTTAAAGAATAAGTTATTGATTTAGTAATAATTAATTAAGAAGCCAAGTAAGAAACCTGTCTATTTGGAAAAGAAAGATCTAGTAATGGAATAATATGTGAAATGAGAACTCGGTTTCTTTGAGTAAGAAAGAATAAGCGTAGTAGAACTTCGGATTACTTAGATAGAAAATGAGAAGAGAAATTAAGTTTGATCAAGGAAGTGATATTATGTTTCAACGTGTTTCTGTTATGTGTTGTGTAGGTCATGCGCTACGGTCCGTTTGATCTGTCTCTGGAGCTATGTGTGAGTAACAACCTTGTAAAGATATGTTTGAATTATACGTATTTTCTGAATTATAAAATGTTATGTTTCTAAAATGATACTTTCTGACTGATTGAATGATTGTCCTATTTTATGAACTGTATCCGTGGTATCCATAGCATCTATTACTGCTACTGTTTACTGTTACTGTTATAGAGATCTCTGTTAGTTCAAATTCTTGGAACTTCTAGTTACTGTACTAATGGCCATCATTTATGATTGTTCGGTCTTCATGACCTACTGTATTGTTCTAATATTTGATGTACCACGTATGACTACTTTGATTTCAGTATGAATCTGATAAGTTTATGATTCTAATTTGAGAACTGATTTATTGTTGAAATTGATTGATTTTAATTACAATAAGGACATCATTCATTACCTCTTTACGTAGTTATTATTCGTTGGGCTCCAACTCACTGTATTATTTATGTATGTAGGTGAGCAAGTGTGTGACCAGGCTTAGAGGGGTTTGCCTGGAATCTATTCTTGTCAACCAACCTATATGCCTCCCGTGGAGGTTTCGGATATGCCAAGTGGTCAAGACTGTGATTAAAATTTAAGTTTTTGTTTATTCTGTATATATGATGACGCATGAATGATGTGATAATATATGTATATAAAAATTTTAAATATTTTTTGTCTCATGTGAGTCTCCACAGCTCAATGGACGATATATGTTTGTATTTTGCTTCCGCTAGCCTCTAATATTATGTATCTGTTTAAGAGGCCTTTGGTAATATTGGGATTACTGGCCGGTCACGATGCTAAACCTATAGGGGTGGGTTTGGGTAATGACAGAGTAATATTAGAGCACGAGTTAATATCTCATACACTGAATGTCTAGCATGTATTTAAGTTACATGCATCTAGTAAGTGATATGTTATGCATTCAGAAAATATATATGTATTTGTTTAATAGGCTAAATATGAGATTAAGAATTAATAAGTGTTGTTATTATGGAACTTTGATGTTATGGTAAAAAAAAAAAAAAAATCAGAATCTTGACTAGAATATTGGTAAGTACAAGTATATTGATTTGTGGGATTATGGAATCACACGTAATTAGAATCTTTGATGGGAGCCACGAAAGTTATATGGTTTATACATGAAATCAGATTATGGGAATAGTTGGGAAACTGAGATAATTAATGATTAGTGAAGTGTGTGGAACTATTGTGATTGTATCTATTTAAGAGGCCTTCGGTAATCTTAGGTTTACTGGTCGGTCATGATGCTAAACCTATGGGAGCGGGTTTGGGTTTTGACATAGACCGTTCATAGGGGTGGATGGTTGTCACTTGAAGGATCCTTATGGTGGAGTGCTAATTTCAGCAGTTGCTCTAGATGAGAATAATGGGTTGTTTTCACTAGCATTAGGAGTAGTGAAGTATGAATGTAAGGAGAGTTGGACATTTGTCTGAGAACATTTAAGAACAATACTTAGTGATGCATCGTCCACTAGGCTTTGGATCATCATGTCTGATGGACAAAAAGGTCTTGACAAAATTGTTAGTGAAATTCTACCAGAGGTTAGATATAGAATATGTTGTATGTATTTGTTTAACAACAACTTTAGGGCTAAATTTCCTAGAGTGATCTTGAGGAAGAAATTTACAATTCTAACAATGTTAGAGAGCATAAGATGTAACTTATTGGGCAAGTTTCAAATAAGGTATCAAAAAGCATTGCAATGGCAGTCCAATGTAACTTTGAACATTAAAAAAAGGCTTGATAAGAACTTATATGAGTCAAGAAAGTGCAAAGTAGAGTATGCAGCAGATCATGAGTATGAGATTAGGGACAACGAGGAGTAAGACACATTGTGCATCTAGGTAGGATGAGCTGTGTATGTAGAGAGTGGGAGATCTTTAGGATTCCATCCATACATGCTATGGTTGCTATCTCGCATAGCAGAATGAATGTGGAAGATTTTGTTCGCCTCTATTTCTCAAAGCAAAACTATTTGATGACCAATGGTGGGATTATATATCTAATATTAGGCCAAACTACGTGGACACTGATAGATGATGAGCCTTTATAGCCACTACCTCTCAAAAGATTAGTAGGAATGAGCCTCTAGCAGACACAAGTCAGGCCAAGTGGTCTCATACTTTGAAATGCAGTTGGTGCAAGGAATTTGGGCACAATAAGAGGACATGTCAAATTGGTCCAGTCAAGGATGGAACAAGTACTAGAGGCATGGGTTCTTCATCTGCGAGAGGAGGCACTTCATCTGGGAGAGGTAGAGGTAGAGGTAGAACTTCATCTAGAAAGGATACTTCATCTAGAAGAGGCATTTTAGCTGAGATAGGTACTTCATCTGGTAAAGGCAACTCTGGCAAGGGCAGGGTAGGGGTAGGAGCAAGAATACACATCTAAGCATCTTTAGTTTTCTTTGCCTATGCATTTTTATTTATGACTTGTGTATTTATGTACTAATTTTGGTTTGGAATTTATGCACTACCTTTGGTTTGCAACTCAAGAGATTCCAAGAATGAGCCCTTCAATGCCTACTCAGTGTGTGACATAAGTCACAAGAACGTAAAGTTAGTTTGGATTTTGTTCACTTCATATTTTATTTAGATGGTAAGGGTTCAAAACTAAGTTCTTTTTGTTTTTGTTTTGTTTTTTTTGTTTTTTGTTTTTTTTTTCCAGATAACTTGACTACTTAATGATGGTTTTTGGGTACATATGTTGGACAATGAATAGGTACAGAACAGATCGTGCATAGTGCTTAACTGAACTATAGGATGATGCACCCACTTTTGTTTTTTGTTGTGGCGATCTTGATCATACTTTTGTGTATGAAGATATAGAGACATGGGCACTGTTTTGTTTAATTGTGAGGCATTGATTACTTCTTTTTTTGGGATGCAACTATGAAGCATTTATACAAATTTTGGGGGGATGTAACTATGAAGTAACTATGAACTAACTATGAAGTATTGATCTTTGAACTTGTTTATGTATGTATGAAGCACACATATTTGGGACTCATATTTTGGGATTTGTCATGCTTTCATTCCACAAAAACTAGCACAAACTTGTTGTCTTAAACTTAAATAGACAAGCTTTATATATTTCATTCCACAAAAACTAGCACAAACTTGTTGTCTTAAACTTAAATAGACAAGCTTTATATATTTCATTCAACAAAACTAGCACAAGTTTGTCATAGTTGGATATACTTGCATTACATTTAAATAAAACAAACTTTACATATGATGAGTAGGTTACTTCATAGTAACAACAAACATGGCAAACGAACTTATGACCAAACTTATGATTATCAGTAGCTTCATATATCCTTGGTTGTCTTCAAGTACTTGAACTCTTGTATGCACATCTTTGAAATTTTTTCCTTAAGATAATGGTCTTTCAAGAGTATCAGTAGCTTCACCAGTTGAGTTAACAGGTTTGCACCAATTCCAGAATTTGCATTTTCCTTTTGAACAAACATAATACAACTTTCCTTTGTTTCTTTCAGATCTTGTCACCTTGATAGCTGCCTTATGACCACAAACACATGTTTTGTTTCTATATTTCAGTATGTTAGTTCCATTGTTTGAGGATGACATATCGTGCATGGACATTAAAAAAAAAAAAAAAAGTGTGTTTGGTTTGAGTTTTTTGAATTAAGTTTTCTGAAAACTCAGTTTTTTGATTTTCGTGTTTTTTTATTTTTAATGAATATTTTTAAAATTTTAAACATTTTTTTAACTTTTTTAGATGCACCTTACTTAGATGTATCTAAAAAGTTAAAAAAAAATTGTGAAAAAATATTTTAAAAATTTAATAAATACATAAAAATACAAAAAATGTACTGAATTCTCGTATTTTTTTTGTATTTTTGGTATTTAGTGAATTTTTAAAAGTTTTTTTCACAATTTTTTTACTTTTTAGGTATATTTATGTTAGGTATGTCTAAAAAGTAAAAAAAAATGCTTAAAATATTAAAAAAATTCAGTAAAAATAAAAAAAAAACGAAAAATAAGAAAGTAGAATTTTTTGAAAAGTGCTTTTGAAAAAACACAACCAAGCAAGCTGAAACAATTCAAAAAATTAAAAATATATATAGTTCACAAAAAAAAAAATACAAAAAACTAGTAAAGAGAGAGAGAGAGAGAGAGAGAGAGAGAGAGTTTACAGGTACTGAAAAATTGGAGAGAAATTGTTACAATGGTGTGTATTATTTTATAAGTGATGTAAAGGGTATTTTGAGCATTTATGTGTTTATTGCGGCTAATGTCTCTCTTTCTAGTTACTTTTGTAACATGCTTCTAACAAAAGGGGAAATCTTATTATTATTTTCAAAAGTAAGGAAAGTTAGTGTAATTTTTTAAATCACATGCAAGGTATCTGCAATTATGGTAAACATTAGAGGAGATAAGTGTAATTTACTCTTTTTTTTTTTCTTTTTTTTTTCAAACACTAATATGTTATTTGCCTAATCAATTACAATAAGTTTGGAAACTCAGACTTATCCACCCAGATTTTTCTAGATAAGTGATTGTATAGTGTGAGATTTATATATAGAATAAATCTAAATTATAAAATGATAATTATGAATAATCTTTAAATAGTTAAATTTAAGTTGGTAGTATTATTAAGGTGTGGGTTTAGTTGATGATTTGGATAGCCAAGATTCCGTTTGGTTTAATTTTAGAATCATGATTTGAGTATGGAGTTAGAATTTAAGTGTGAAGTTGCGAGTTGAGTATTGAAAAGAGAAAATTTGTTTGATTATGAATTTTGAAAAAAGTTTTAAGTTTTGAAAAGAGTTTTGAATTATATTTTGAGTTTTGAGTTTTTGAATTTTGAATTGTATTTTAAAATTTTTTGAATTTATGTTTTTAAAATATTTAAATAAGTTTCAGAAAATTTTATTATTTTTATTTTAAATGTATGATTTTTCTATTAAATATTTTTTTAATTTTTTTAATTTTAAATATTTAATTTTATTTTTTAAATATTTTATTTTTTAAAATATTTTAAACTCAAACACAACTCCACCCTCAAATCATATATAGCGATTCTGGTTTAGACTCGACACATTTGGTGTTCTAGACTCAAGTTTCATGGTTCTGTATTGTTGTTCTTGTATTATTCTTCTTTTCCCTCCTTGAGTTTGGTTATTGGGATGTATTGGTTGTGTTTGGAACAGGTTAACGTTGTTGCCAAGAATTTTGCCTCTATGTTTGAGCGGCACTTCTTGCACTTAAGCGTCCTTTGCGAACTCTTAGTGCTTTTGCAAGTCTACAAAATTACTGGGAGAGTGCATTCTGCGCTTGAGCAGTTATTCCTGCGCTCAACCGGTAAGCATTTGTTTGTAAAATTACTGGAAGTGTGTATTCTATGCTCGAACGTCACTTACTGCGCTCGAGCAGTGACGCCCTTTTTTATTGTGTCTTGGCGCTCAAGCATCACTTCTTAAGCTCGAAATGGTAATTATTTTTGTGTCTGGATGCTCAAGCGTCACTTCTTGCACTCAAGCGGACTGTGCGTATATTAGTTCGTAAAAGTTACTTTTTACATCACTTTTTAATCTCTCTCTCTCTCTAAAACATTTCAAAACCCTAAATCTAGAGCTCCTCTCTCTAGAACTTACTCTCTCTACAAATACACCAAGATCTACCTATTTCTCCACCCTACTCTCTTTGTAAAAAGGGTAGAGCTCACCTAGGGCTTCATTTTCATCCGAATATAGTTGGATTTCGACTTCCTTAAGGTTTTTTCACTCTCTCTTTGGTCTTCTAGTTTTGAGGTAGGGATTCTCTGCACTCTTTCATAATTTTTAACTTAGCTATTTGTTTTTATAAAATAATATTGTGATATTGGAGGATTTGAAATAAACCTAGGATTTTGATTTAAAATCAAAAGAGGAGTTTTCAAATGGATGTATGAAAAATGGTTATGTGAGTGGAAATGAGGATGAATAGTGACTAAAGTATTGATTTCATACTTGGAAATGGATTTTGGAAGAAAGAGGAGTTTTGCTCTAAATGTCTCAAATATTTATTTAGGATAAATAAATGAAATTAATATTGGAAACGTGAAATTAGATGGATATTGATATAGATGGTAGAGTTTGATATGTATTATCACTCACCTTGAAATTTGGAAAGTTATCTGTATTGGAAATTTTACATCTGTTTAGAAATATCTATTTTTGGCTATTGGTGGAGGATATCTATGATTGTTGTAGAAATTGCATGAGGATTAGGTGAATTGAAACTAATTTATCATCCATGTGCATTGAATATTGTTGCTCATTTAATATATTGCAAATTTATGCGATTTTGAGAAAAATGGGTGAAAGTTGAAAAGATGTGTGTATCACCAAACTAAGTTGGCCTGTGTATTTAGGATGAAAGTCCTGAAAACGCACGTATACAGGGGTACCAATTCCTGCGGACGAAATATCTGTAAAATGGCAATAGTAGCGCTTGTATAGGCTACATTTACATGGGTACCGTTTGACGGTTTCCTGTGGACGAAATATCCACGAAAGGTTGTACCAGTTTGAGAATTCCTCCTTGTTTCTTATGGTAAAGGACATGATTTCAGAATTATGATATAAATTAAGCATGGTGATTTTGAGAAAGAAATGTAAACTATTTTGACATGGGCATTATACATGCATTTCACCCTTATATCTTTGTTAAGATTCATATATTGTGTTAAATTATTTCTACTTGGTTTTGACTTACCCTATTTGGAAAAACTATTTTCAAGTGCTGGTGACATGCCTCCACCAAGGACTTAGCTTGGTAAGACTATGGAGCTGAAGGCTCAGTTTTGTTCTTTTGTATGCACTTTCGTACAAGTCTAGTGTTTTATTTGTATTGGGCTTAAGACTTACTTTTGATGTACCCAAGCCTTGACTTGGAAAGATATAAGCCTTTAGAGCATATTATTATCTGTTTAGCTTTTATTTCATTTTTATTGTTTCGTAACACATGCTGTAGATCCGTGATATATTATTTATGGATGTATATCGCATGAATCACCCTTTTGTACAATCGAATCTCATGTAATAAAAGAACATCATACTCTGATTCATATTATTATTTACTTATCGTCTTGGATGATTTATTGCATTTATTTCGGGACGTTACATCATAATTAAACATATAACTCAAAACTCAATTCAAAAACTATTTTCAAAACTCATAACTAAAAACATAATTCAAAACTCAATTCAAAAACTCTTTTCAAAATTCTATTAAAAAAATTCAAAAAAATATTTTTTATTTTGTTCATTATAATTATTCTTTATTTTATATTTTTTTGAAATTTTTTTTTTTCAAAATATTTTTATGTTTTTGCAAAATAATTTTTATTATTTTTTAAAGTATTGGGAAAATAAGTTGTTATGATTTAGATATAGGAAAAATTAGTGAAAGATCCCTCTTCAACTTTTCGTAGTAAGAGAAGTCCAAGATGTTTTTTTGTTAGTTAAGATTCCTCAATATTTTCGCAGAGAAAATTTGACTCAATTTTTTTTTTACCCAATTCAGAGAAATTTCAGCACCGACTTAGAAAATTTTCAATTTTCACAGAGAAATTTCGAAGTATGATCAGAAAAATTTCTCTGAGTCGGGGCCAAATTTTTCTTAGTCGGGCCAAATTTTTCGCAGTTGAATTTTCTTTGTGAAAATGTTGAGAGATCTTAATTACTTTAAAAATATTGTGTGTACTTTATCTTATAAAATCTTAATATCAAGAATTTTTTTTTTTAAAAAAAAATTCCCCATAGATATATATGGCGATCCATTTTTTTTTAAATTAAAAAAAACAAAAAAACAAAAAATATTTATAAAATAAAAATTATATATTTAGAATAAAAATTATGTATTTAAAATAAAAAATATAATTTTTAAAATTTTTAAATATTTAAACAAAATACTACTCAAATATTTAAAAAAATACACCCCATAATTCTATGAAATAAGCTGCACATTAAAAAAAGCAACTTAAAACTCTTTTCAAAACTTATAATGAAACAAATTTTTTCTTTTTTCTTTTTTCAAAACTCAAAACGCAACTCCTCACTCAAATCATGCTTCTAAAAATAATTTTAAAAAATAAAATAAGATAATATTTTTTTGTATTTTTCTTGTTTTGAATAGAGTTTTGAAAAGTGTTTGATTATGAATTTTGAAAAAAAATATAAACTTAATTTTAAAAAGTGTGTTTTGTTATAAATTTTAAAAATAATTTTAAATTTTTTTAGTTAGAATTACAATTTAAAAAGAGAATCAAACGGACCCAGTCAGTCTCCCTCTATGCGAGCCTTTCGGTGTTTGTGTCATGTCTTTGTAAAATTACTGGATCTGACCGCTTCAATTCCAATCTCACCCTTCTCTCTCACACATGTTCCTATAAAAGGACATCTTCATTTATCTCCATTCTCCAGTCAGCCAAAAAATGAACTCCAACCCTTCTCCCACCACCATCACCACCCCTGAAGTTCTTCAACATTCAACTCCTTACACTCCCCTGCCGGACCACCCCACCTCCTCAGCCGCTTCTCCGGCGAAGGATCACCTCCGACCCTTTAAGGGTCTCGCCGTAATCTTCCTCTCCATGTTGTTTATGTCGTCTATGATTACCTTTTTCTTCTCAAACTTTGGCAATCAATCAGAGTCTTCTCCTTCGGCCACGGAGGCGGTGTTGCCGGAGACTTTGATGCCGCCGTCGAGGGGGGAGTCGGAGAAGACTTTCCTGGAGTCCTCCGGCACCGGTCCGGCGTACCCTTGGACTGATGCTATGTTAGCTTGGCAAAGAACATCTTACCATTTTCAACCTGTAAAGAATTGGATGAACGGTAGGTACACAAACAAACACTTCTGCTTTTTTGTTTTTGTTTTTTTGTTTTTTTGGTTTCATTTTTGTCTTCAGCTGGGTCAATTCATTAATTTAATTGCTTATAATAGTATATATTTAAATAATGTTGTAGAAAAAAACATATATATATATATATATATATATATATATATATGTATATTTTTTTTATGGCTAGATACAAAGAAAAATAAATACTTGGTCTACAAGAGTATTTAAGAGTATTTCAACTTTAATCTCTAATTGTGTCTATTAACCGACTTATTGAGGAACTAAATTGATTTTTTTTTAATATATTATGGATTAAATTAATACAATTCAAATATAAAGGAATCAAATTGACACAATTTAAATATTAAAAACTAGATTTAAATATTAAAAACTAGATTGGCAAAAGACTCATACTTCGGGAATGACAAATGTAATTAATCTTCAAAAAATCTGTTTTATGTGCATTTTTATGTATATATGTATTTTGATACTAATCAAAATATATTGATCATTTTCATGGCTGTTTTTTGGGGGCATCGGATAATTTCTACTACAGATCCTAATGGTATGTCTAATTTCCTTTCTATTAGCTCTCTGAATTTGGTTTTCTTATAATGCCTGTTTGTAAGCTCAATAAGGAGGAAATGCTTTTACTTCTGAACCCCGCTATTCCTGACCATAGGAAGGAATATAATAAGGACCACTACAAGAAAATGAGGCTTAAAAGACGGAACTATTTGCGACGGTACACTTGCCGTCGCAAAAAGTGACTTTTTGCGACGGTAAAAAATACCGTCTCAAAAAACAGAGTATTTTGGGAGGGAAAAAAAAACCGTCGCAAAAAAAATGTATTGAATTACTTTACTTAAATGTATCTAAAAAAAAAAATTATGAAAAAATATTTTTAAAAATTAATAAATACATACAAATATATAAAAAAAAAATGTATTGAATTACTTTACTTAAATGTATCTAAAAAAAAAAATTATGAAAAAATATTTTTAAAAATTAATAAATACATACAAATATATAAAAAAAAAATGTATTGAATTACTTTACTTAAATGTATCTAAAAAAAAAAATTATGAAAAAATATTTTTAAAAATTAATAAATACATACAAATATATAAAAAAAAAATGTATTGAATTACTTTACTTAAATGTATCTAAAAAAAAAAATTATGAAAAAATATTTTTAAAAATTAATAAATACATACAAATATATAAAAAAAAAATGTATTGAATTACTTTACTTAAATGTATCTAAAAAAAAAAATTATGAAAAAATATTTTTAAAAATTAATAAATACATACAAATATATAAAAAAAAAATGTATTGAATTACTTTACTTAAATGTATCTAAAAAAAAAAATTATGAAAAAATATTTTTAAAAATTAATAAATACATACAAATATATAAAAAAAAAATGTATTGAATTACTTTACTTAAATGTATCTAAAAAAAAAAATTATGAAAAAATATTTTTAAAAATTAATAAATACATACAAATATATAAAAAAAAAATGTATTGAATTACTTTACTTAAATGTATCTAAAAAAAAAAATTATGAAAAAATATTTTTAAAAATTAATAAATACATACAAATATATAAAAAAAAAATGTATTGAATTACTTTACTTAAATGTATCTAAAAAAAAAAATTATGAAAAAATATTTTTAAAAATTAATAAATACATACAAATATATAAAAAAAAAATGTATTGAATTACTTTACTTAAATGTATCTAAAAAAAAAAATTATGAAAAAATATTTTTAAAAATTAATAAATACATACAAATATATAAAAAAAAAATGTATTGAATTATTGTATTTCTTTTGTATTTTTGGTATTTAGTGAATTTTTAAAAGATTTTTTTACT